TTCACAACATCCGGCCACCATCAATGATGGTTACCTCGCAAAGTTGTTTTATCCTCACTTTTTTTTATTTTTTTTTTTATTTTTTTTTTTTGCTCTGGTATTTGGCCATATGTATTATTTTGTAACTAGGGATCCATCCATGCATCAATTTTCTGACCCGCTTGATGTGCCGAAACCTATCCCAGCTGTCTTCAGGCAGTAGGCACCCTGAACTGGATGCCAACCAATCGCAGACGACGGATCCTAAAATAGAAATAGAAATTACTGCGACGAACGACGAAAGCATTAAAATGTCCGGAAATACGAATGAGTGTGGCAAAAAAATTGCAAAGATGAAGAAAAATGAACGTTACAACAAGCCGCCGCACGTCTATCACGAAAAGCCGAAATGAGCGGTCTGCCTGCGCACCCTGCGGTGGTCGGACTTGGCGGCGACGTGACTTGACTTTGACGTTTCCTATTCAAGTTGTTCCTTTCTTTCCACCGGGCTTCAATCAGCTGGCATTGCGGCCCCCACCTGCCAGCTTGAGTGAGGATCACGGGGTGTCACGGCTGTCCAGAGACCTTAAGCCGCAATCAGCAGCAAATTCTTCCGCCACGTGTCATTCCCCCCCCGCCCCCTTTCTTTCCTCATCTTTCTCACGGCAAGATGGCATTTAGAATGCGCCGTCTACCGTGGACGTGCGCTTCATTTGAGGTCGAGAGACGCCGCTTGGCCCGTCGATACTTGGCCCGCCAGAGCGGGAAATTGTCTTCCCGCTGCGTGTGCGATCGCAAGCCGCCCTGTTATGTATGCTCGGCTGCACACGCCGCGGCGTTCATGAGGGGCTGAGCTGCTGCCACGCCGTCTTGATTCGAGGTGAAAGCCTCAGGGTGTCGTGCCCCCATCGACCCTTCCTGTTCTTTGCCCTTGCCTTGTTCCATCTCCGGCGATTTGCTCGCTTTGTTTTTATTTGGAGTGTTAAGCTTGTCCACTTCACCATTCTAAGGTTCTGGGTTCGAATCTCCTCGGCGTTCTTCTCGTATGGGGATTGCATGTTCTTGCGTGAGGTATTCTGACAGGACTGCGGATTCCTCCCATCTCCCCAAAACGTGCAATTAGGCTAATTGAAGACGCGAAATGAGGGGAGTCAAACTCATTGTGCACGCTCGGTTGATTTTTGAATGCACATATAATACAAAGGGGGGTTGGGGGGGAGCAGTTTATGTAATGTGCACGTGAGCAAGGAGAGGCACACTTTCATTGATTGAATGGGACAAAGAGACAAATACAAAATGAGAATATTAATAAATATAATATACAGTATAATAGCAGACCTTCACACTGAAATACCAGTCCAACTCCAGCTCCTCCCATTCCTCATTAAGCCACGCCCCTTAAAGCCACACGTACACCAAAATGACAATGCCTACAGTAATTAAACTTGAGGAAACGAGTTAATTTATTGACATTGTCTTGTATTGGATTTAAATAGAATACGGACGACCCCCGCAGACGCACGATTCGGCACCTGCGGATTCGCAAATTCGCATATTTTTTTTAAAATGTTGTTCAATATTTCACAATTTGGGCGGGTTTCCATTTCGCCCATTTTTTTTTTTTTTTTTTTGTGAGAAATGACTTTTCACTCCAAGTTTATTTCAATGGGTGTCAGTTATATGCGGATATTTGCAATTCGCGGGCCGGCCCGGTGCCTATCCCCTACAAATAGCGGGGTCCAATGTCCGGTAAGGTTTTTTTTTTTGGTTTTGTTTTGCTTTTTTCCAAAACGCAAACCAAAAGAATTGCTGTGTTTTTTGCTGGCTTGGATTTCGTTAATCAAGGTATGACTGTATGCGCCATTTGTTTGTGTCAAATCGTGGTCACAACCACTGGTCATGAGAAGTCATGGAAAATCGTAGCATTCAAATATTTCAGTCAACAATTATTGTTCGGTTGATGTTCGGAAGGGATTTGGTGAAAAATATGGTTGGATTCAGATTTCCTGCCAAATTGGAAAGAACAAAACCCTTTCGCGAGCAATATGAAGCCGACACTTTGTTTGCTTTAGTGGGCCATAAATTGTGATGTGGCGGTCCTCGTGTTCCTAATTGTCCTTAGGTGTTTGTCTCGATCTACCCTGTGATTGGCTGGGGACCAGTCCAGAGTGTACCCCGACTTTCATCCAAAGTCAACTGGTACAGGCTCCAGCTCATCCGTGACCCTAAGATATGCGCACTAGAAGATAGACGGACGGATGTCCTATACTGGCCACTTTTTCTCCCCCTGACCCCCCTGTCTCAGGTGGACGTGTACTAATTGAGCCTTCCTCCATCCCGGTCACTGAGGCGTCTCGTGGCGAGAGAGGCCACGGCGTGCCATTCCCAGCGGCGACTCGAGCCTCACCCGATCGATACGGCAAAAAGCTAACAAAACGAACACATGCCGAGCGCCCAGATCAGGGTCATTATCGCCTCTGGCCCGCCACACTTCCGCCGGCGACTGATCAATGTAAGGATATGGATTAACACAAGCGTTCTCGCCTCAACCTTGCTCTCCAATGTTGACAGGGCTCTGAAAGAGCAGCGCCACGCTCAAAACCGAAATGAGCCATTTGGTACAGCCGTATTTGTCCCTCTAAAATGACCAATTAGCAGAATGTGTTGTAAATGTGGCAGGTTTGGTGGTGCTGTGACCGAGTAAATCCATTTTTTAAAAAATGTCATCACAAATACAGGCCAGTTTTGAATATGTGATATTCCCAGTTTCGCGTTAGCAGTCAGCATGATGTGACATGTAACCGGTGAAGCATTTCAAAGGTCTTACAAAATATGACAAACTGAATGATTACTGATGGAATCCTTTTCAACATTTTTGGTGTTTTAATGGTAAAAGTCATCATAAATACCTACTAATATTCGGCAGATCTTTAACATGTGGTGTTCCTAGCTTGTCGCTAGCGGTTAGCATGTTGACTTTACCGATATGACACAACTGGATAAGGTTGCTTTTTTATTTTTATTTTTATTTTTTTTAAAGATTGTGTAGCAATTTGATTGTCTGACAATGTATGCTAAGTTGATTTACAAAGGAACACAGTTATGGCATTGAGTCGTTTGTTGGTATTTTGAAAATATTTACAGTTACGCTGACACGTCTTTTGCTTTCAACTCACAAACCTCTAAGACTCATTTTGGAGACAAAGGAAAAGTGTATTTGTTGAATGGTTATCTTTTAGCATGAGATGTTTTAAGAGGCTTCAGTCTATATTTTAACAGAGACAAGAAGTGCAACTTTTTGTCAAACCAAACAGTGCACTTCAGCTTCGGTTCGTGGGCATCAATGTGAGCCCTTTGTTTACTTTCTGAAAAAGAGGACCACCTATTGATGCTGCAATAATTTTTGGGATACTGTGTCTCCTATTGGCTATCTTGTTGGATAGCGTCCCTTGTGTATAATTTTAGAATTTCTTAATTGTTTCCGAAAGCATCATTCGTGACGTCCATGCAATTAGGCGGCGACATAACATGACATGTTCTTGAGGCTTCAAAAATGCAATGTTTTTGTTTTGTTTTTGTCCATTTGGGACTTTTTGAATTGCTGATGATGGCACATCGCCACGTCAGTGCACCCACCCGGGAGTTGTTTGTAGTAGCACAAAAGAACGCTCAATGGTTATCTTTTGTAAAGAAGTCTTCATTTGTGCAACCAACACAAAGTTGGAGTGGCAGGGCCGCACGCCAAAGAAAATGTCACGTCCGGCGTTGTTGTTTTTTTTAACACCGTGTCCGTGGAGAAGCACGCGCGCTCATCAGTATGCCTTTAAGAAGCCACGGGGCATTAAAATGCAAAATTGCCCTCCACTCAGGCTAAAGTGATTTTAGTTGTGATTATGCACCATTTCCTCCCACTCAACAGCAGGAAAAAAAAAAAAAGAAACGAGAGCGAGGGGTGGAGGGGGGGGGCAGAAAAAATAAAAAGAGCGCTAATTGGTCATGGGGATTGGTGGGAGGCTTCGCTATTTTATGTCTCTGACTTCTAAATGAGTTTGGGAAAGGAGAGGCTGCCACTCTGCCGTGGAGCTTTCTGTTGGCGCCGGCTCAAATTGAAATGATGCACTGTTCCCCCTCACTGCGGCTGCAGCGCGCAGTAATTAAATGCCTCATTGTTGCTTCCTGGGAATTGGAATGGAATATTTCATGCGGCGTGGTGATTATTTGGGGGTGTAGGTGGGGCGTGGATGTAATCACCTTGGCTGCATCTCTGATGAAACGCTTTGCTCGCTTTGGTGCTCGTCGCCGCCGAAAGTGGCCCCCTGGGCTTTTGACTTTTTTTTTCTTTTTTTTTTTTTTTTAACTAAGTGCTTTTATTCATCGCCGGCCTTGTCGTCATGACTTCCTGTTTGTGAAGGAAGCATTCAAAGCAATGTTGCATGAAAATTTGGACCTGCCCAAACGCTGTTGGTGTCAGCCTCGGTAGTTACCAAGCCCTGACCCATATGGATTTTTGTTGAGGCCGATGCAGATTCCAATATTTGGCCGAATAAAAATTCGGATCGATTGATCACCAATGAATTTAAAGAATATATTTCACGAATAAGATTTTTGGTTCCTTAATGCTTACAGCAATAAAGATATGAATTCAAGGCAGAATTTTTCTCTTTATTATGATTATTGGTTTCTACCTTATAAATTTTGAGATGCCGACGACAGCCAATTCTGAGAAAAAAAATAATAAATCAGCGCGAAAATTTGATTTGCATCTCTGAAAAAAAAATCAAAACTTTTTTTTTGGGGACCAGCGTAATGGGGCATTTTGCTCACTTTTAGCAGAAGTGAGAGAAAATGCTTAAATCCAACGCGATTGTCGGTATGTTTGTACCCATCTTAACTCTCTGCGCTTGAGTAAACACCAGATGTTGGCGGAGCCCGGGAGCAAAATAATACTTATCATAAAATCTTGTCTTCTGTTGCTTTCATATGTCAATAACACGCATCTCCGCATTGTGTCTCCTCCGCAGAGGACGCCGGTCACTAATGGCGAAGCGTTTCGGTGGTTCTTCTAGAGACGCCGGCCGCCGTCATCCATCACCCGGCAGGAGGTCACGATCGACCGTGGATCGTCTGCTCGGAGCATGTGACCCAAAGCGCCCCCCACCCCAAGTGCACACACGTGCTCACACAACACACGCCCCTCCCCCATACACACACACACACACACACACACACACACACACAAACACACACACACACACACGTGGAGCGGAGGACGGAATACAAAGTGGACGTAACGGACGAGACGGAGTTGACAAAAACATACTGGGTGTTGTTTCTTTTTTCGGTGTAATTATTGTACCTTTTGACAGTATCATAATGTATATTTTTGGTGTCTTATGAATGTGTTTTCAGTGTTGGCGGCCGGGCGGGAATGGGCCGCCGCCGAGCTCGTGTAAAGAAAGGACTTGAAAAAGGACAATCTTTTTGGAACCACACAGAAGCCGTCCCAACGGGAGGCGGTTTGACGAGAAACGCAACACACTTTACTCTGGAGCAATAATTATTCAACCTCCTTTTTTTTTCCCCCCACCAATATCTCTTTTTTTCACTTCCCAGGAATCATCCGGAAGCCATTTCAGCATCCATTTTTTTTTGTCTCGATGAGGCAAGAATGGCACCCCCCTCCCCCACTCTCTTTTTTGTTGAGATTTGTGATGACTCGCCACAGAACAGGGCACATTGTCTTGTGTGGTGGGTTGCACTAAAAAATGACAAAACTGAGCATTTAATTCACTGGAGAGATCCTGATGGAAAAGTTTGGAGGTGTATTTAAAAAAAAAAAAAAAGAATGGATGTCAGCAAAGGCATCATCATGAAACCCTTTCCCGTTTGACACCAATGAAAGTACACTTATACATATTGAACATATCAGGTGTTGTTCTGGAGCTGCAGGGGGGTTGTGGGGGGGCGGGACTGAGCGATGCGCTCCATTCTCACCCCCCCAAGTATGATCCAATAAGGCTGGATTCACACTGCTCGTCAAAATGTGCACAGTTCCGATTTCAAGCCTCGATCCCTTTTTTTTTTTTTTTCTGGACTATTTCCGTGTGCATTTCAAGTGACTCCTGCACTTATATAAGGAAATAACTTCACAAGCACCAACATGGAAGTAACCACTAAATAAATAAATATATATATATATATATATATATATTTTTTTTTTTTTTTCTGGACTATTTCCGTGTGCATTTCAAGTGACTCCTGCACTTATATAAGGAAATAACTTCACAAGCACCAACATGGAAGTAACCACTAAATAAATAAATATATA